TGGAATTTAGGAGACCTTTTTCTTTAGGGAAGACAGCTGAGGAGAAGGCTGGCTTCTGTGTGGGACTTTTTTCCCCCCCTTCTCAACAAGGAAAAAAAGAGATTATTCCTAAACCTTGTGTGTTTAATCCTGCTAAATGCTGCTCTCTCTGATCTTACTGATTAACATTTGAAGCCTATAAAGCTAGGGTATCAGTTATTTGAAACTAGTAGCATATAAACATTTTAATTAAAACAAAGAGAAGAAGGTGGGGGGGGAAGACTAGTATTGCAGTGCCTGCTCTGTGGAAAAAGGATGTACACAAGTATTTTATTTACTTTACAAAGTATTGGAAGAGGTAGCTCTTTCCTCAGAGAATTGATGGCCATGAGACTTACCCTACTTTGGTGCTTCAGCTCTATACATTTTATTATCAGGAATGTCCTTTATATATTTTTGCTTGGTACAGAGAGGACTTTACTCTGAGGATGTGCTATAGTGAGGGGGGAAAGGTGGGACCTGTAGCAACAGTAGTGAGGAGGAAGGCCTTATAGATGCATCAAGTTGTTTATGTATGACCAGAGTAACAGGAATGGGTAGACTTTAAGCACCAAAGGAGGACTTAGCCTGCAGAGCTGTGTCCTGCCATGCTTATAGTAACAATAAATATTTTTGAGAAGCAAATGGAGGTAATTTCATCAGAAATTTATCAGCTAATGCAAAAAGAGCCAGTTTATTCCATAATCTTCAACAAAGTGGATGTTCTGGGGTTGCACTGAGAGGAGTTGTTTGAGGCTCTTGCACTTCCTTCTAATATGCTTCCTTCTCATTAGTGCTTGTACAACTGGTTATACAACTATACTGCAAAGCAGAGCAGGGAAATGTGCTTAAAATATTGTAAAGAGTCTGTTGTTCTGGGTTTTTTTCTTTAAAATGAATCAATTCTGCATTCAGAATAACATTCAGAATTCAAAGAATTGCCCTGTGCATGTTGTGCAAGCACAGCTTGGGGGGAACAGGCAGAGCCCAGAGGCATTTCCAGGAGCTTTACAAGTTCAGTGTTTGTTTTGTGACACCTCAAACAAGTAGGACATACATGTAGTCATGTTGATCCTAAGACCTTGCAGTCACTTTAGGTATGAAATTGCTTCCAGTTTCATACTGATGCCAAGCTAGGAGACCAGTTTTGAAATACAGAATAGGGTATGCACTTGCACTTGGGATTTATTTTACAGTGGGCTTGATGCTCAGCAAGGGCTGACTGCCCCTAAAGAGGGTCGTCCTATTTTTAGACATGTCACTTCCTGTGCAGTGTATGTCAGTTCTCTGGAGCTGATCTTCTGTCAGATCAGCAAGCTCTCCAGTCCACCAGAATAAATAGTCCTGTTTTTTCCATCAGATGGCTGAACTGATCTGACTGGAGGCAGGGGTGTGCAGCAGTGGGAGTGGGCTCGCCCCTTTCATTGCACTGTTCCAGCAGTGACTGCCCACCATTACTGGCTTATGGGATGTTTGGGCTCCACGATACTGTGGATCTCCCCGCATGAGGAATTATGGACAGTTTTGAGACAAAAATCTGAAGCTGAGCCAAAACCTGGGGTGATTGGAGGTCCTTCCCTCCCCCGAAAACATCTGTTCAATCATCTCCTGCTGTTCATGTTTGCTGAGCTGGGGACAGAGTCCGGCTGCTCTGCCTGTGGCTGTTTGCCTCCTGCCCAGGCGGTGGGGAGGAGAAGTCCCTGAGGCTCAGCGCTGTGTCATCCCGGCCCTTGCCCTCCCGAGGGAGGGAGTGGATGTGTACCGGAGAGGTATGTCTGAGGTGCAGTGCCAGGAACTGCCGGCACTTGGATCTCTCTCGTTCTCTTTTCAATGCCTGTTTTTGGCTAGTGGTTCTCCTAATTCCTTAAGCCTCTCTACTGCTGAAACAAGTGGCTCCACACGTGTCTGCAGCTAGACCCCCTCTCCTGCCCAAACAGCACACGTGACAAACGAGCTGAGAAACCAGTCTGTGGTGAAACTAATTGGCAGAAGATGGAGTGGTTGACTTTAAGTTTGATCACTTCCTTGTTTCATTTTGGTGCATGTGAGCACTGAAAGGGAGGGCACAGCATGAGGGAGAGGGAGTGAGAGCTTATTATACTGGCTTGGCATTCTGTGGCTTTAGGGTTCAAATGGATGAGTTCAACCATCTCAGCAGCTTACAGGTTGCTAAAACATGTGTTGTCCCCCCTGGTCACGTGTCACCCCTCACATCAATTCCAGAGGGTTTCCTCTGTGTTGTGCTTTCTACTTTTTGTGTTTTGGTATGTGATCTGATTGAGCTCACTGAACTGTCAGAAAACTGTATGTGGTGGTGACAGCCCTTTTATTCCTGGTGTTTTTTTTTTTTTTTGGTAGTTCGTGGCACTAATTGGGTGGATGAGGGTCCAGCTGAGCAGTGGAGCTGGCATGGGGGATTGTACACAATTGCCCCCTTCAAAGCTGTTTTGTTGGTGCAATTTCTTTCTCGTTTAACTTTGTAACATTGCATCAGTTTGATCCTATCTCTTCTTTTTATTCCTCAAATATTAGCAACCAATGAATTCTGCTTCCTGTGGCCCTTATTAAAACTCTTCAGAAGAATCCCTGGCACTTCCCCTTGAGATTTAAGTGTTCTGGAAGCTCATGCCAGTGGCTTGTGCTTTGGCTGGTGACAGTATCCACTGGTTAATGAACTTGGGAACTGGCTTAGCTGGAACTCAGGCCAGCTTTTCTTGTTTTTCATCTGGGCATCTTTGTGCACCTTTCACAATTTGTTTATTGAATGGGAGCAAAATTATTTATCTTTTTACATCCATCTTAGAGATTGTTAAGCTGTGTTTGCATTAGCACCTAGTCCCTTCAGCAGCATTGTGTTGGGGAATATTAGCAGTAGCTGGTGCAGTTATTGAGTTCCTGTGTGTTGCTTGAAGCTGATATTGAACAGAAAGGCAATCACGGTACATTTTGAAAGTTAGTATGGTAGGGTTCTTTAATATGCTGCTGCCTGAAATTAAAAGATTTAATACTTGTATTGTGACATTGAATCTCTATTAGCGCTTGAAATTCTCAGTTGAAAGTGTTTTTAATTAGTCTTTCAATCTTAAACATTCTATGCCAAGAGTGACTTGCATAAGGTTTCATCTTTAAATTGTTTCTAGTTACCAGAGCACAGAAAACTCGTCTTCATTTATGCTCCCCTGAAATGGCTTCGCTGGATGTTGGGCCCAGCATAAAAATTAAATTCCCACATGCACTACTTGCAGTTTCACTCTGAAGGGCTGTCTGGGGAAAGGCAGGAATGAAAGTGGTCTTTCAGCTACAAGTACAGTACTTCAGCAAAATCAAATTTAGCTGTCGTGTGAGGTCAATGGGGGCTTTGTATGTCGAAAGCAAGTGCTTCTATACTGGGGTGGGGGAGTGCAGTCAACAGCTGAAATTAGCTTAATTGCAGGTTGAAGCTGAAAAGGTACTATCAGATTTTGTCTTCTTGCCTGTACATCTTCCTTATCATATATCTTGAACACCTTCTCGTCCTAAGAGTCACTTATTGCCGTGGGCAGAAGACTTGTTTCTGTGTTACTGTTGGCTTTGCAACCCAGAGGTTTGCTCTTGGTATCAATTTCATATGTTTTGGGGAAATAAAAACAAAATGCATTGGATGTGGGTGTGAGAGGAGATGAGGAGATTTGTCTGGAAACAAAATAATGGGAAAGTTGTTTGTATTTGAAGCCAAATGCATCTTATGTAAAAGGAAATCTTTTTTACCCTGGTGCTTCTTACTGTGGTTTAATCTAGTTTTATAACGTGGCCATTGGTGAAGTATTCAACTATCTTGAAACCACTTTCCCTCTGTTTTGTTTATCTTTTCTTTTGAAACGTATGCTGATGTTACTTGAAAGATTGATTTCATTTTTTTTTTCAGTAATATTGCTCATTTTTAGTTTGACTTAAAGAGTTAAAATCACACATGCTTCAGCTTAATTTTTAATCAGAAAATATAAAATGACAGACCCAAGTTGATCTTGAATGAAATAATTGATACCTTAATATACATAGTTTCTTAATGAGAAACTTTTTTTCTTTCAAAACTGATTTAAAGGGCAATTGTATATTTATGGAGTGGGGGAAAAAATGGAAAATTAATTTCATCTCACCAAGTGACAGATGTCAAAACTGATTTACAAGTTAGATCACTTGATAATAATTAGGAGGCTCAGAATACTGATGAAAATGGTCATTTTCTGTAGTTTTTTTGTAAATATCTGTAAACCTTCTTAATACAAACCAGGGACAAAAACATATAAATTATACAGTTGAAGATTAAATCTAAGGATGTTAAATATCAAGGCAACTCATATATCTCTAGGTTTTCACACAAATTTGATAAATAGGTATGTGTACCTGGTCTCATATTTTTGACTGAAAGGGTGATTTTTTATTTTTTTTCAAGTGAAAAATCATAACACGGGGTTTGTGGTAAGAAGTCATGTTGTCTTTCACTAATGATACAGTGACTAAACAGTGACGTGTGAATTCATCTGACTGCTGGTAATTATAATTATTATGCAGTAAGTAAACCTGTGTTACCATGCTGGTCTCTCATTTTACAGTTCTCATGTACAGTATTAGGTGTTCAGGTTTCCAGGAGAATTCAGCCTGAGTTGTCCCCCTCACCTATCTCCCCTTACCTGACTGACAGATGCAGTGATACTTCCAATATTTGCTAAAATGAATTTTCTTTGTGGGTATATATTGAACATAAATTGGTGGGTCTGGGAGGGTCTGAATGTGTGGGTCATGCAAAGCCCACAGATGACTGTATTTGTGGTACTGGGCAGACTTTATAGACTTGTTGGGAAAGGGCACTGAGTTACCCACAAGGCATTTATTCTGGAAGATCTTTTTGCTGAGCTGTGGGAAACTTCAGATTTTCAAATGTCGACTGTAAAAGAAAGGTTTTCTCAGGCCTCTAAATACTGGGTTGTGTGTATCAATTTCAGGTTTATAGAAGAAGGGAAAATGGCTCAAGAAACGAACCGTAGCCAAGTGCCTATGCTTTGTTCCACTGGCTGCGGATTTTACGGGAATCCTCGCACAAATGGCATGTGTTCAGTGTGCTACAAAGAACATCTTCAAAGGCAGAACAGTAATGGTAGAATTAGCCCTCCTGGTAAGTAACACTGACATACATGTGTTTGAGCAGCTCAGACTGACAGAGTGGACAGCAGCTTCCTGCTCATGTCCAAATACTAGATGTTAGGAGCATTAAGACGCTTGAGTAAAATGGTTTGCACTCCCTCATGGAATGAGCTTGGATGAAGTGCTCATAATATGATTGTGCTGCGATTAATCTGCTCAGAAGTAGACTCCTAATACCTTTGGTAGTCATTTGAGTGTTTCCAATTTGAAGATCTAAAAATGCAGAAAAAATACCAACATATTTTTCCTGAAACTACTGACAGTGGAGATAAGATTTACCTTGGGGTATGTTTGTGAAAAGCAATTAAAATACAGGTATTTAATCTCTGCAGCCTCACGCTGAAGGATTAACCTGTAGACACTTGATAGTTTCTCCTTATCTTCAGATACTTTTTGTTCTTTTTGGCCCAGTGCCCTCTGTACTATCCTTTCCTTCAACTTGACCTTTTAAATTGAAGAAATCTTTCTTGGGAATCTAAGTTCTATGACTTCAAAATGAATTATTAGCATCAGGATGCTATGTTAGTGTTTCTCACAGATCCATCTTGGTTTTTCAAACAAACCCCAAGCTTCTTATGTCAGAATACTGCAGTTTATGCTGAGAAAGCTGTTTGTCGATGCTTTAATTAGCAAAAAATAGTAACTATTTTAAATCTTCAGCTTCAAAATTCTCCGCAGTGTAAGTTCCGGGGGCCTGGGGCTGGAATGAGATCGAGATATGGCCAAACATAATTACTTTTTTGTAAAGTTTTGTTTCATTATGATATAGGCAGAGATTCAATTACTTTCCTGACTGGTGTCATAGGGGTCAAAGGGTAATTGCAGTGTGTAACTTTTGTAATCCCAGGAAGTAGTGTAACCCATTCTGCATTGGTCTGTGTCTTCCAGCAGCCTCTGTCAGTAGTATAACCGAGTCCTTACCGGTTCAGTGCACAGAAGGCAGCACCCAGGAAACTCAGTCCACTTTAGATTCTACATCGACTCCATCTATGCAGCCAAGGTAAGGTGTCTTTATGTAAAAATCTGTGTCAAGATGGTGAAATGAAGTGTACTGATCCTGCATAATTAAATGCTGGGACCTGAATTAGGGGAAGGTGTAAGATCTAACTGCTGACTTTAAAGCATGGGATCTCATGGTGAATACTAGCAGATCTCTCGGCTTCATCTTGCATTCAAATGGAAATTCGTCTTTAGAATTTAGCCTCAAATAGGAGCATTGCCAGCTTCATGCTGTTCTGAGGAGATTTGTCTGGCTAGTCTTCTGATTCCACAACTTGCAGTTGTATGTTTACCAAAGGAGAGCTCTTTTCACCTTAGAAATTTGAGGGTTTTGTAAAATGGCAGAGAGCTGCTTACTAGAGCCTTCATATATAAATGTGTGATAATGTGTTAACAGCCGGTTGTTTTACAAAGACCGGAGAGTACTAGGACAGGGGAAGGATATCTGAATCTTGGTACATGTTGTGCTACTGAACTGATTTCTTATTAAACAAGTAATTTCCATCTGGATTATTCAAGGATACATAATGTCCTCTTACAAACTGCTCAGACTTAGTAAGTGTTCTCCATTTGTAAAAGCTAAATATTTGCTTGTATTTAGTGGCAGCATTTCAGTTCAGAATGACACAACCAACAGCAACTCAAGTGCTTTGGAAATTTTTTGAGTGAAAAGTGTTAGTGTGTTACACTATGGAAGCTAACTTGCAGAAATACTCATTCCAACTTTTTTTTTTAAAAATCAGAACATAGTAAAACACAGGTTGAGGGTGATTTCATCAGTTATTGCTGGCTGATTTTGCTCAGACTGTGTTTTCTGCTCCCTAGCTTTTTATAGGATGTGTTATCTCGTGCTTGGATCCTGCATATGAACCGAGAGCTAGGTGCCATGCTTGAGGCTATATTTAGTCTTTCCATTCTGAGACTTTTAGTTGGGATAGAAAATATATATCTTACCCTGAAACAACTCTTCTGGTGTGTGTAATAAAAAGAAAAAATCATCCAGGTCAGTGCACAGATCTGAACCAATTACAGTGCCTTGGCTTTGTTCTCATACAACTTTTGTAGAATCATGAAAGAGAATAAAAGCACCTCATTGATCACTGGCTTGATTGCAGGAGAAATAAGTGGATGGTTGCTCTTGGACTTGTACTTCAAAAGAATTGGTGTCACTTATTTGGCTTTTTCTCCAAAATAAAAAGTAGGAATTCAACTTCAGTCTCTGGGAATACCTCAGGCTTACAGTACTCTGAGGACACATACAATAAATTGACAGTGTAACCAAAGCTGCAGTTGAAGACCTTTGTGCAGTTCTTGGCAGTTAAAATTGCAACTCGAGTACTCTGGTTGTGCCGTGGACCTCTGCTAGAGGAGTGTCATGGTCTGCTGGCTCATGGGCTGCTGAATAATCCAATTATTTGACTTCAAAGTGAATCCCTAAGTGGAAAGGAAGAAACAAATAATGCGAATGAGGTAGGGCTACCCCTTGCTTGGGACTTCAGGTCTGCCTTGTCCCATAGGAGACCTCCTGGATGAGCAGCTTGGCTGGGAGCAACTGCTGGTATTGAATTGGTTTCTTGTATATCTGTTCAGGGTGTTCATCTGTGAGTTTTCAGTCAGGCTGTGATTTAGCAGTGTGACTGACAGGGTGGGGAAGTTTGGCCAGCACTGCTTTATGCTGTGAAAATCTAAGGGGTTCTGTGTGCAGCTGCAGCTGCTTTATTGCTGGAAACATAGACATGCTGCAATCTTCTCATTCCTATCACTAGAACACCAAAAGTAGCTCCTCTACAATTATCTTGCTGACTTATGTTAAAAAAATCCTTGCATATTGAATGTTGCATTGTTGCATCTATGTGAAAAGATGGTATGCCAAACGACCCAAAATATTTCCCTTTTTATAGTTGAACTGGTTTATTGCATTCAATATGAATGCAAAAAATGTTTACCTTTTTTGTCAGTTCGGGATGTGGTGTTTTTAAATCATTATAGAAACAACTTCAGAGTGTGAGAAGTTCTGGCATGCTTTTTCATCAAGAGGTGCTGTAATGTATCCCTTTCAGGAAAAGAACGTGGAAATGCATCATAAAAGTTGTAACTTTCTTCTTTTGCCCCCAGCCCTGTGTCAAGTCAGTCACTTTTAACAGAATCTGTAGCATCATCCCAACCGGATAGTACGGCTGTGGACAAAACAGTACCTGAGACAGAAGAATTGCAAGGTTGGTGCCTAGTTTTCAGATGGAGAACTTAGGAATAATGTTTTTAAACTTTGACTGTTCTTAATATACTCCTGTTCAAGAGATGGCTGATTCTCAAACCCAAATGTTCTGTGAAATTGGAAGGCAAAATAAGGATAAACTTTCTTTTCTTAAACAGCAAGTCAAGCTGAAAACTGTTATGTTTCACTGGTGATGTCAGTATCTGCCATAACAAGTGTGTTAATTGGCGTTGGAAATGCACATTGTAAATCAACATTTTTTTTCTGTCTTTATGCCACAGCTATTACATGTAAGTAGAGCTTTGAGTATCTGTTACCTCTCAGAGGAACCATTTGCAGCAGATACCACAAGGTTTATGAGCATATTCGTGATAGAGGGTGTTATGACATAACAGTTGCAAGAACAGTGTTAGTATCTTTTAGAAACAGGAAACACCTACGAAAGAACCTTTCACCTATGAACTGTAGTGGTGTAATATTTTGACCTACTAAAATTCATTTTATCAAATATAAAATTACCAAACCCCGGACTATGCTTGGTTGAAGGAAAATGGCTGAGTGGGTTGTTTTACCTATATTGGCCTAAAATCCTTATTGCTGGTACAGTTTAAAGGTTTTGGGTTTTTTACTTTCTTTCTATGTGCAAGCTTTCAGAGCTTAAGACTAAAAATTTTTAATAATTTTTTTTGGAAATGCAAAAATTCCAGATAATATACAAAATGTGCTCAGATTTGTAACCTGTAGACATTATAAAAAGTACTTAAAGGTAAGTCAGTAAGTATTCTGCTTTTGCTTCTGCTGACACGGTTAAGGCTTTAGTGGGTGAAGTTATGTTTCTGTCTAAACATAAAAGTTTGGGTTTTCCACAGATACAACTTGTAATTCCACTTAAAGATGCTAAATGTTAGTACTTTCAGTGTACCTCTGGTATCAAAGTTTTGCTTCTCAGATTTCTAAACCTGACCTATCCCTTTTTGTGGGGCAGAATGTGAGAGTTATTAGCTACTGTGCTGGGTGAGGCCATGTCCTTGGTCACACAAACAGTGACTGTAAAACTTAGGAGAAAATTTTTAATGCTAATACTATTTTTACTAATCTTTGGGATGGTTTTCAAGGTTCACTTCTTACTCATTTGGATAAATTTGTGCTCCTTCTAATTCTCTGCCTTTAAAGCTCATTCTCCTTAGTAGAAGGTAAGATAGGTTTCTCAACTTAAAGCTTTTAATTGGGGGGCATATCTTCATTTTTTACAGTATGTATTTCAAGGATCAACCTATATCAGGTGTTTAGATTACTCAGCTGAGTCCTGTGTCCTTTTCTTTGTACCCTAGTTTCTAAACTAAGAATACCACTGCCATGTAGTTGCAGTTCTAAATTACAGTCCCTATTTATAACTCACTGTGGCAGGGTCAACCTTATTTCCTTAGGAGTTTCTTCTGTGCTATCCCTTGACTGAAAATTATAGGAAATGTAGTGTTTCCAGGTTTAAGTATTTTGATTTGAAAATGTAAGTTTGGAAAGAAAGCAGCTTAGAATGGATGCTAAGAGGATTTCATTGAATTGCTGTCGCAGTTGTGCATCCTAAAGTTTCTTTTATTTTCCCCACATTTGAATTTCAGGCTGCTGTCAAGAATATAATACAAACGTGTGAATCAAAGTTCTTTTAGTATTGCCTGACTTTCTAGCATTAAAAAAAATTAAAAAGTCACAACAATGTGGTAATTGGTCCCAGACTGAAGAGCATCTAATGCTACTTCTGTTGATTTAGGGTAGGAAAAGGAGAAATTATGTCTGCTCTAATGACTTGTTCAATATTTATTCTGCTAAAATCTTGCCTTGTGGGAATGTCTGTTTTGGGGCAAATTGTTCTATGCTACTCGTGTAAGTTCATGTATTGTATTTAGTTGAGTTCCCTGTAACTTGCCATTAAAACAAAAATTACCAGGCTACAACAGCATTGAAAGAAAGATTGGGTGAACAATTAAGCTTTCTTAGATTACTATTATTACTTTTCTAAAGCAGACAGATAAATGGGACTTGGGGGCTGTGTGCACACAGTCCTTGCTGTTTGCAGACAAGCTAAAACTATGAGGGGATAAAAATCCCAAAGAGCAGTTCAGATCTGTTTTTCTTTGTTCGATTTATGCATTGCAAAAGAATAGAGGAAAAACTATAGAATATATTAATAAGTCTAGACTTTACAGTTAATGTTTCTGTGGTGATACTTGTAGGTATGCAACACTGCAAAAAGCCCAGATGCTCTTAGATAGTAGTACTAGAATTTTTTTTAAACTTTAATGTTCTTTAATACCATGAACATACCATTAAAGATGACCTAAAATGAAACTCATTAAGTACAATCCAGCTTTTCTAGAAGCTGTCTTCTATTCTGAGCATCTCTCCAACTCATTTTTAGATTGCCTCCTGGGCTGTTGTACCTTTTGCTTAACATTACAGCCCTGTTAGGATTAGCCAGTCAGGATTCCTGATTTGTTAGCCAGAGGATTAACCTCCCAGCAAGCCTGCAAGTGGGTAAAGAGGCACTTCCCTTCCCTAGGATTAATGAGTTTAAAATCATCCAGGTTAGGATTCATGCCTTGTATTTCAGGGAGGTTTTCAAAGGTGAATGAAACTTGTCATGGAAGGCAGGAGCACTCCAGCACATACTTTATGGAGCTCTTAAAGCTGAAGAACATAGGGCTAAAAGTATAAATTGAACTCACAGATGGGCTCTCGGCCTGTTTGGGGCTGAAAACTTGTGAAAGCCATAACAGCCCCTCTGATTTTCAAACTTATTGTGAGTTGGAGAGGAGCATGTATTGTTAGCATTGCAAAATGCCATCCCTCACGTAATGTGGTGTGGTTATTATTTTGAACAATCAGAGTACAAACTTAGATTTGAATAGCTGTGCACATCTAGGTTTTACTGAGGTAAACCAGTTTAATTCAGTCATTGGTGACTAAGTTTAAAAAATTGATACTAAAACAATTAAGCTGCTGCAGCATTTTATTTGGAGGTAACCTGGACCAAAGGTGAATGCAGTTGAACTAAAGGCTGTAGTTTCAGTGGACCTCATCAGGGTTGGTTCAGTAGACGATATGGGAAAGGAATTGATGGATACTTGAGATTTTTGTGATAGTACCAGGGAGGTAGAGTATGACTATGATATAAGTGTAGAAAATAATATAGGATATCCTGATATACTGGATGAATGCTCCAGGGAGAGAGGAAACATTCAACAGAAAGATTTAAAGCTAAATTTTGTAGATGAGTGTGCTCTTACTTAATTTGCGTCTTCCTAACATTGGAATAGTGTATTTTAGGCTGATTAGTTGAGTTTAGTGTTAAAATGTTAGGAAGTAGTGATCTTTTGCTTAGGATTAACTTCACATTTCATTCGTCTGGTGGAGTGGGGATTCTTCTTCCTAGGCCATCTAATCAAGTGCTCTTAAGAATTAAATGTAGCTTTTTATTCTCTTCCTGTGGGAATGAGGAACGTTTTTCTTTAAGAGGCTCTGCCTAGTTATGCAGGGGTGATAAATGTAAAACATCCAGAGAGAGAAGAGAACAGATGAGGTGCCAGGAGTCTTGCTGCACACACAGGGAGCTGAGTTGTGCCTTCAGGGATTTGCAAGGGCTGGAGTGAGCTCTGTCTTGCGGGTGCTGTTTTTGTTGGTCAGCCAGAGCACACTGAAGTTCAGGCAGGGTTGGCACAAACAAAGCAGCAGGAAAAGCTTCTACCTTTAGGAGGAAATCCAGACTCTGCTTGTTTTGATCAGCTAAGAACATGTTCTGTAAATCAGGGAACTTTTAGCAGCCAGCCCAACTTGTCAGCTCCAGAAAAATGAGTGTGTGTTCATGCCTTACTCCTTTTTGGTTTGGCACCCTGTACTGGTGCTGCCAGTGCTTCTGTGCTCTGGCTAAAGGCAGAGCTGGGGCTGGGGGAAGGGAGGACTTTTGTTCAAGGAAAGCAGGCAGCAGCATCCTGGAATCCAGACGAAGTCCAGCAGCTGGGAGTGGCTGCAACATGTTTCCTGCAAGCTCCAAGCTGCTGGGCAGTCTTGTATTTTACCTGCCTTTGTTCTGTTGTGGTCATCACAGCTAGCTTATAGATTGAGCACTGAACCACTGGCACTTGGTCATCTAAGGGTGTCTTAGTGGTTGGGATATTCATGATTGTCATCGAGGATTTTGAGTCAAATCTCTGGCTTCTGTGCAAATTGAGACCTAAAATTTATGGTTACTACAGTAGATATGAAGTGAGTGACTTGTGGCACAGTAGAAGAATCTTCCCACTCAGTTCTACACTGAGCAGCAGCTCTTAAATATTTTTAAACCTTTTTAATGTGAGAGCCATACGCACAAAGAAAATGTAAGTATGTATGAGAGCCTTGTTATGCAGGGAAGAGTGCCAGTTTTCCCTAAATTTAGCAAATAGTTACAGAGGCTTTTAGTGAAACTTATATTGAGGTAACTGGATTTTGCTACAACAGGAAATGCAAGCTTGAGAATGTTAGCTGCTAGAGGCTAATTCATGGCATGAAGCTGCCTTAATGAATTAATAAACACAGCAATGTCTGTTTCATATAAAGCTGCAAAAGTTCATTTGAGTAAGTCTTGCCCCTTCTGGTACTTATCTCTCTTATTTTAGTCCTTGCTGCTTTTGATTCTTATCTTGAAAATCTTTGAATATTATCTGTCCACTCAGAAATGTGCCCTTTACAGCCTTTTAAAGCCATTGAAGCTTTTTTGCCAACTATCAATTGTTAGAAATTTCAGGACAAAGAAAAGCTCTGCTTGTAACATACATGGTGATTTAAAAGGATTTAATAAACCATGTGTAATAGTATCTTTGCTAGATGAACTTGTGGAATATACTGTCCCCTCAGGCAAAGTCTTTGCTGGTGATCGGGTATCTTGCTACCCATTGATGTTGCTTAGTACAGACTATAATGTTTTGATACACAGACAAAATGATAAGTGCCCTTTCCTTTAAAAATAAAAAATCATCAGAGTAGCAGCACAGGAAAAACCCCACTGGAATTGTCATGCAGAAGAGCTGTCGACTGGCATAGAACTAGCACAGAACTGCATCTGACAGTCTCTGCTGAACAAAAGTCCAGCTGCACAGAGATGCCTGCAGCTTTTTCCCTGACAAATGTCTGAGCTTACTGTTGTATTCCTTTCCTCACAGCACTGGTTCTAGCTCTGCTTCCATTGACATTTCTCCCAGCTGGAGCTTGCTTTTGTTCTTTGCTGCAAATACTCGTAACTTCTGTGTGCCTTTCTCACTGGAGACTTGTTCTGCCGTGGTCTCATTAGGCAGAGGTTGGCTCTTAGCCCTTCTTGAAATGAAGTTGGGGGTTTTGGTTTCTATTTCTGTTTTGTAATGTAAGGAATGTGCAAATACTTGAGGAAAAGCAGCCAACTTCTATTTTTACCTGGGTCAGGCAAATACTACCACTACTTGTTTGTATTCTCCCATACAACCTATAACCTGTTTCTTTTAGATGTGGGAGAACATTAAAGTAGGTTAAAAGTGGCCTTAGCAAAAGCATCTTTAAAATTAGGTGTTTACCTGCTTCCTTCTGTGTTTCAGGACAGTGTAGTTCCTCCCTGTAAGTCTGTGTATCCAGAGCTGATGTTTCTCACCCCAGGTAGTGACTAGCTCCTGTGTAGGCTTCTTCCAGGTGTGCAAGAGCAGCAGCATCACAGTGGTAGAGATTTTTCTGAAACGCTACATTCTGTGTGGTCTCAGTGTTGCAGCCTTCAGCAAAAATAGTGTTGATTCAGGATTTGAAAGAGGGTGTTTGGCTCAACCAATCCTGTTACATACAGTGCTTCTTAAAAGCAGATTGTGGGAACTGGGCTGGTAAGCTGTGGGGAAACACTGGGGTGCTGGATTTTCTTCCCATGTCTGACAACACTGAATCTTACTCTTAAACCTAATGTTTAATTACTCTGAGTTTTTTATGGTATTGTTGTATTGTGAACTTTATGTGAGCATTTAGTGAATCCTCCCCTTAAATTATATTGACGGTCTAGAAGGAGGGAGTTCCAGTCACTGCAGAGACACCATTACACTTCAGGCGTGGAAGCTGCAGAAAAATGGCTAATTGTACATCATGAACTTTAGATTATTGTAGGACTTAAAGGAGGGGAGAGACAGACTTTTTTTTTCCACTGTTCTTATTAACTTCTTTAATGTCAGCTTCAGTGTCAGAGAATGCAGAGCCTACACCTGAAGAACAAGACAAGTCGCTTGACAAACCAAAACAGAAAAAGAATCGTTGTTTCATGTGCAGGAAGAAGGTTGGACTTACTGGTAAGAAATACTGGTTTCAGTTTTCTGAGATTTGTTGTTGGACCTTTGAAATGTTCGCTTAAAGGGAAGATGGGGCGTGGTCATCTCGATGTTGATTTGAGATAACACTTAGTCAAAGATGCTTTCTGCTGACTTGCTAGATTAGTTATTCATGTATTATTTTGTTTTTCAGCCTCCTGTCTTTAAGCGAAGTTCATAATTCCAAATACTTCCCTTAGGAACTCTGCTTAGCTGAGGAATTGGATGATAGTTTGCTGCCCTTCACTAACCAGCTTTGCAGTGGTCAAGTGAAAGGGCCTGAGAACTTGAGTTCTGCAGGGTGAAGGTTCATAAACAAAGGAAAAGAGCACGAGGTGTCTAGGAATATGTTCTGTGCTAGTGTATCGTGTGATAGGAAGGAATGGTCAAATCAAATCTTTTTGTGATCACTTAAAAATGTATTATTTGTGATTCTTATGCTTTCTGCAGCAGAGGCTCTTTGGCTGATTGACACTGGTGACTGAGATTTATTGCTAGTGAGTGAATACATTCAGGATTTAAAACAAGCCAGTGTAATTAAGAATGTTGAAATGTCTAAGCTGCTGTTTCTGTCCACAGGGTTTGAATGTCGGTGTGGGAACGTTTACTGTGGAATGCACCGTTACTCAGATGTACACAGTTGCTCTTACAATTACAAAGCCGATGCTGCTGAGAAGATCAGAAAAGAGAATCCTGTAGTTGTTGGGGAAAAGATCCAGAAGATCTGAACTGCTGCTTCTGCTGGAATACAAAAATCCTTTGACCATCTGCAGATTAAATTGACTTGAGCTTTTTTCCTTAGTCATCAGGAACGTAGAGCAGTGTATCTTGCCTAGACCTTTTAATCATGCATGTCATCAGATGAATAGATTTTTTTGTTTTCGTTTTTTTTTTGTTTTGAAAATGACTCTGAACATTATTTTCATTGCAGTTTTCTGTGGCTGAAGACTTAAGTAAACTTTAGAAATATTATCCTTTAAGATCATTTTAATTTTAGTTGAGTGCAGAGGGCTTTTATAACAAACGTGGAGAAAATATTGGAGGGCTGTGCTTTTCCAGGATAAAACATGCATGCGTTAACTTTGCAGTTTATTTTCTTGTTGTATATAGCTTTTCTCTGCAGCACAATTTCCTTTTTTTTTTTTTTTGATAATGCCTTGTATGGCACAACTAGTTATCAGTAACTGAATGTATTTTAATCATTATGGCTGCTTCTGGTTTTTTTTCCCATTAACGAGAGGTTATACATGTTCGCATATTAGCTTGTTTGCACCCTCTACCTATTTATGTATGAATCATTTGTAATGAGAGTGTGTGCTGAGATTGTGTGGGGGATTTTTTTGTTGTTTTCTTTTTTTTTTTAATTGGGGTTTGTTTTTGTGTGTGTGGGGGGAAGGCTGTATGCACTTCATTGACTGCAGTTTTCATTGGGATTTCATCCATCAGTTTGTCTGTACACAAATATGAAGAATGATCTGAAGTACCTGTGCTGTATTTATGTTTATCCACGTCTTAACTTTGATTAAATAAAATTTAAAAAAATCTGAGCCCCTGTGGCTGTCACTGGCATATATAACTTGGATTTCTCTTGCTTTCTTTTAATGGGGACCTTCCAATGGTGATTTCTTTACTTACAGTGTATTTATTCACAGCAATCATGTGTATCCCAATGCCAGCTAACTTTTGATTTTTTTTTTTTTTTTAACCTTTTTACTTGTAACTATCAGACACCACAGTTTCCAGAAGCTTTTTACTTTGTGTGTTGCTTCTGCCCAGGGAGTGCTTCCCGTGCAGTGTCACTCGTGTGCAGCAGTTTGGGTCATTTGTGACAATGTACTTGAGCTGGGGCAGACCTGCAGGTAAAACTGATGTGATCAGTGGAGATGTGGAGCAGCCATGTGTGTGATTCTGGTTCTAGGAAATGGAGCCGTGGGGTTTGGGATCTACTGTCTGACAGACAGCACTGCAGGAGGAATTGTTCTTTTATTGTCTTGTGAAGGTGCTCAGTAAGTGTCTTTCTTCAGGTGTCATGAGATTAAAGTCTGTGCCTCAACCCTTCAACCCTCCTGGTCTTCTCCATAACTTTGAGGTGGTTTCTGTAGTGCCATGGAAACTTCAGCCAGTGTTGCTTATCACCAAACCTAACACCACACTAAAGTAGCACCAACTCCCCTCCAGATGGTACTGATCTGCAGTTGAAATTTCACTGGCTGACTTGCTGTTGCTTTGAAGCATTTGTGAAATAAATGTAATTGCATGGCTTTATTTAAAACATTAAATTTTTAATCAAAGCTGGCTCCATCCTTTAAAATTCGGAATGCTTTCTAAAAGCTATGGCTGGCAATTAGTAGATAAAGCACTACATTTGGGATATAAACTGTGCAGCAGAAGGAGCTTTCTCTGGTAGCTATAGAAAGTAATCTGCAAAACCCAATAATAAATGAAGTAGCTTGTGCTTGCAAAAATGTTGTAACCGTAATCTATGAGCACATGGGTTTTATAAAGGAAGGAATAAATAACTCTGACTGGCAAGTTTCAGTAATGGCCTGCCTTATCAGGGGTCAGAGATCCTGTGTTTCCTCAGAACACTTCCTCTTACACAGCACAGACTGTGGAAGAGCAGCAGCGTCATCTTTGCTGCGTGTTTGTTTGGTTTCCTCTTTGCTGCTACTTCCCTATTCTCTGATCCACTTTGATTTCTCCCTCTTCCCTTTTTCTGGTCTCTCCCTTTTCCTGAGCGTGTGCTTTTCTCTCCCCTATGCACCCTCCCCACCAATCTGCCTTGGACATGACTGATACTTCTGGGCCACGCAGAGAGGAGACGCCAGAGATTTCACGATGAGGGGAAAGCGAGTGATGTTTGTATTTTCTGGTGTCTGAGAGACTGAAAAAAGAAATGATACAACAAAAGTGACTGCCTTTGGAATTCACACACTACCTTTACCACCACCTGTTAAAAAGCAACACCCTCTGGCTCCTGATCACGCTGTAGGAAATGCAGCTGTGCCCACAGGATCCTTTCCTGGCAGTGCCCACAGTGAGGCAGGTCTGCATTGGGTTGTTCTGCTTCCACACCTGTCCTTCTCCAAGCCATCTAACAAACCTTTGGCCTGGCTCGTGCAGGTCTCTCAGAGTTAAGAATATGGAAAGAGTATATGCTCCCAATGCATGAACTTGCATTTGGACTGGAAATCCACCTTTCCCTGACACCTGAGAATTGTGTGTCACGTTTGTTTGCCTTGGCATTGGCTCTGTGTTATCCTGGTGGCTGATCTGCTTTTCATTCTGTATTTTGTGTCATCAGCTTGAGGTTAGCAGGTTAACATTTTAATTAACACCAGCATATTCACAGCACTACAAAATGCTTGAGTAAATGTCTTCCAATGTGGTTTTGCTTCGTTTTTGGAATAAGCAGGTTCTATGACCCAAATCCTTAAGTGTTGCTATGAAACATTTTCACCGTGTTTAAAACAATTCCAACAGCCAGTGGAATGGAGTTGTACCTTGGGTACAGGAACTTTCCAGGAAATTCTCCACAAGTTTGTGCTATGTGTTGTATTATTTAAAGAACCCCTTTTAAACAGCACCTTGTGAGCCACTAGTGAGTGGCTGTCCCAGATGGGCTGTCATGGATGCTGTTGTATCATCTTGCACAAATCTCTGGCTGTAAAACTTGATGCATTTCTTCTGATGACTGCCAAAAAAAAAATTGAGCAGGAAACCAGTTCTTGCTTGGCAGTCACAAATATCTAATTTTTTATTGGAAATAGGTGGTCTTTGCTATTTAGTTCTAATTTCAAGGATGTTCCCTCAGTGGTTTCTACTTCTGAAAATGGGTGAATTTTCTCCTGCAGGTGGGAGAAAGTCAGGACTGGAAGCAAAAGGATCGGCCTCCCTGCTCTTTATGGTTTGCTGCGCTTTTATCTCTGGTTTTAAGCTGCTGGAACTATCTGGGGAAAGTGGAAGGACTCAGAGAGGTTGCAAAACTAAAATACACACAAAGTGCAGTTTCGGGTGTGAATTGTGCAACTTGAAGGACTGCTGAGCTCCTGGTGGGAGAACTCAGTGTGGGCATAATCATTTCACCAGCGTCCTGGCACATAAGTGACCCCTCAGAAGGTAAATGAGTGGGTTTCCCTCTGTTCTTGGAGCTGTCTGGTGGCATCCTTCATCCACAGCAAGGTACCTGTTACAGGAAGGCCTCAGTTTCATGTGAAGGTTTATAGAATCATAGAAGCATTAAAGTTGGGAAAGACCTCCCAGATCATCCAGTCCAACTGTTAACCCAGCACTGCCAAGTCCACCCCTAAATCAAGGGCCACATCTACAGATCTTGTAAACGCCTGCAGGAAAGGTAACTGTGGGCAGGGAGACCCTGTTTCCCAGGGTCGCTGCCTGGCTGGGAGCAATCAACAGCTGCTGACTCAGGCAGAGCTCTGGCACTGATTAACCTGCCAGGGGACCAGGCAGAGGGGTGGGATGGAGACTGAGCAGCGATTGGTTTGTGTCTGAGGACAGAGGGTGGGATTTGATGCTTCCCTGCCCTGGACTCCAGCACCTGGAGAGGATCTTCCTCCTCGGAAGGCGTGTAGCACCCGGGAGGTGGGTGCTGTCATCTGTGAGCAGGGACTGCTCAGGGTTCAGCATGTCTTTCATCCAGGTAGACAAAGACTCGGATTTTCCTCTCCAAAATCTCCCCTATGGGGTTTTCTCCACTAAGGAGGAGGTGAGTAACAGCAAACTTTGTCCTTGGGGTGTTGTAATTGTTCCAGGGCTATGAGAGAGCAGAATTTCCCGGCAGCCTGGGAGAAAGGAAAACTTCCCAGCCTGAGACACTCGTGCAGCCTTTCTGGCTCATCAGCAAAGCTGGAGCTGCTGCATTGTCTGTTTCCTTATGTGATTATTTTGATGTCAGCTTCTTTAAAACTGCACAAAAGAAATGAGAGGTGTTAATAGTGATGAAAAGTACTTTGCCTAATATGTATGGTAGTTTTTGTGTGTTTGACCATTTTTGTAAAATCTGTGTTTGATCCTCTCACTCCCTACGTAGAGGCACAGCACAATTCACACTCAGTTTTTTTAACTCAATCCCTCATCTTCTTTGTGACTGATTGTAATCACAATGTCACCCTTAAGAACCCACATTAAATACTGCTCTTAGTGAGTTTGGTTAGTGGCTGCCAAAGCATTAAACCAGGGCACCAAATGTATGTTTTATCTGTTTTTGCAGCTGACCTGTTGTGTTTTACTGGGCATGTTTATGCAGTGCTGCATTAAACATGTGCAAGTGTGTTACATTTAAAGCTGTGCCCAAAGGCTACAGGTTGAGCCAGCTTCAGGTCTTGTATTTATGATCACATAAGAAAACATGGTTCTCCTTTCTGCCAAAAAGGTAGCTCCCAGTTTCTGTTTTCATGAGTACTGAGCTGAGCTAGGCTGAACCTCACACCTCCAAGTGCCTGACAGGATGGAGGCCCAGATATGAGTCCTCCTGGAGAAAAGGAAACATGCCACGAGCTGCATCTTGGAAGGAAAAAGCAGAGAATTTATTTATCATTGCTCATGGAAACTTCACGATTACCTCCTGGTTTCTGCTGCTTATCCGTGCAGGTTTAAAAAAAAAAAGAATTTAAACCATAAGATTGTGTTTTCTGATGTGGTATTTTCTAAAGATAAAACTGAGATAGTTCATTTAATCTCCTCCTAGATGTGTGTGCTGTTATCTAGCAAGGTTGGATTATTTTTCTGCCTTCTTCAATAACTACTTGAAGAAAACATCTTCACTCAAACCCTGTGACAAGACAGGCAAGGACTTACGGAAATTATTTAGGAAAATAATGTTCTAAAAGTAGCCCAATGTTTTAATGATTTCAGGCTAAAACAATTGATGTCATTCCTGACTATCCCAGTTACAAATTAACCTGACGTGACCTTTAGTTTTTTTTTCTGCAGGAATGTTTGCTGAATAAACACTTAATACCACACTTGGAATCTTGTTTAGAAATTAAAGGTTAAAAAACCCCAGGTTTAATAGCACGGATGGTTATTTTGGTGAGCTTGTTTTCAGAGTGACTGTGACTATTTTGTCTTTATTTGCCTATAGACACAAATAATTGAAATTTGTCTGCGTTTTTTGGCCCCACGCAGCTGCGGTGGAGCTGGTGTGGGTCCGTCCGTGCTGCTGCCCCGCCGGCACCGCCGGCTCCGCACGCGCCGGGCGATGAACGGGGGCTTTGTCTCTTGGGCTGCATCTGTCCAGCCAGTGCAGCCACAACCCACCGTTCCTCCCTGTTCCTGAAGGGAGGATCTAGGCTGGGGTTTGCACACAACCCATGGTGTGAGGATGAGTGGTGTAGGGCAGCCTCGTCCCACGTGGTACAGAAACAACGCACCTCAGCACGTTGCGTGGTGTCGTCAGTGCAGTCCAGAGCACCCGTAGTCCTCTGGGAAGGAGCTGGGGTGCAGAAATGCCTGTTTCTCTCTCCTGTTACATGGTTATAGAGATGGGATCCATCCTGCCCATAGTCTGTCTGTGCTTCAGTTTCTCACTTGTAAAAGGGGATATAGCATTTGGCT